AGTTTGTTTGAGGGGAAGATAGTTAGAAAAGGAGTCCACATTGACTAATTTAGAGGATGATCCTATGTTTATAAGTATGGAATACATCCTTATTGGTATGAAAATTGACAATATCATACTATTGTGAAGATTTGCGATAAAATTATGTTGAAAGTTTATATGAACCTTTATTGTTCTGGCTGGTTTGGGTTTTAATGGATGGTTTGATTAGGCTATTCAAGAGCGCCATGAAAACACATTGTTAAAAGCTGAAATGGAGAAACTTCGAGAAGAAAATAAAGCCATGAGAGAACTTACCAAGAAAAAAGTTGGCTGTCCAAACTGTGGCACTGCCAACGCTGCTGAAGACCATACTGCCTTCACAACTACGGAGCAATTGCGTATTAAGAATGCTAAGCTCAAAGCCGAGGTAATATCAATGTCACCCTCTAATAATTTGGTTCTTCTTCTTGACTAATCTTCTAATTCCCAGGTCGAAAAATTACGAGCAGCACTCGGAAAACACTCGCAATCATCGATCTCGCCTTCATATTCGTCTGGGAACGACCAAGAGACAAACCGAAACTGCTTAGATTTTTACACCGGAATTTTCGGGCTCGAAAAGTCGAGGATCATGGAGAGGGTTCATCAAGCTCTCGAAGAGCTCAAAACAATGGCTGCCACAAACGAGCCACTTTGGATCCGTAGCATCGAGACAGGAAGAGAGATTTTAAACTACGACGAGTACTTGAAAACTTTCCATCTCAAGAATTCGAACACTTGTTGGCTCAAAAGACATATCGAAGCCTCTCGAGACACGACCGTCGTCTTCATGGAGCCCTCGAGGTTGATCCAAAGCTTCATGGATGAGGTAATAAGACTATAAGAACATGAATAAAATAATAAACTTACAGATACATCGATAATTAACATATACTTCCATCGTTTAATTTGGTAGAATCAATGGAAGGAGATGTTTCCTTCCATGATCTCAAAGGCAGCTACAATTGATGTTATTTGTAATGGAGAAGTTGCCAATTGGAATGGCGCAGTGCAATTGGTAAGCCCCTCATGAAATCAGAAATTTTTCTTAACAAAGTCACCAATATGAGTTAATTGGCTGTTTCAATTAAATAGCCATTATTGTAGATGTTTGTGGAGGTGCAGCTGCTTACACCATTGGTGCCCACTAGAGAAATCTATTTTATACGTCATTGCAAGCAGCTCGACACTGAACAATGGGCGATTGTCGATGTTTCGATCGACAACGTTGACGATATTAATATCGATGCATCGTTGATGAAGTATAGAAAACGTCCTTCTGGTTGCATCATTAAGGATGAATCTAATGGCCATTGCAAGGTATATGTCTTGATCTATGTTAGAGTATTGAGAATCTTAAACTTCAAATAATGGTGCTTTTTATAGGTAACAATGGTGGAGCATTTGGAATGTGAAAAAACCCAAGTTCATAACTTGTACCGCACCATAGTCAACAATGGCACTGCCTTTGGAGCAAGACATTGGATGGCAACGCTTCAACTCCAATGCGAACGCCTTGCTTTCTTTATGGCCACCAACATCCCCATCAAAGACTCAACTGGTTAGCCCTTTATTCTTCCTTCTGGCTGATTCTAAAAGAAACCGGTTAGCCCTTTATTCTTCCTTCTGACTGATTCTAAAAGAAAATCGTTGAGAGAATTATTAAAAGGAGTAGTTCGATGTTGGCTAATTAAGAGAAAGATTATTTTTATAATTAAGGAATACTATCTTCACTGTTACAAGGTCTTTTGGGAAAACTAAAAGCAAACTCATAGAGCTTATGCTCAAAGTGGAATATATCATACGAATTGTGATTCCTAACATGGTATCAGAGTCATGCTCTTAACTTAGCTATGCCAATGGAATCCTCAAGTGTCGAACACAAAAAATTGTGAGCTTCGAAAGTATAGTCAAAGGTAACTCAAGCGTCGAATAAATGATGTACTTTGTTCAAGGGATCTAGAGAAGGAGTAGAGTCTCGATTAACGTGAGATTGTTAGAGAGCTCCAAATAAAGAGGCTTTAAAGGAGACTCTATGATGTTCTTTGTTCGAGGGGAGAATTGCCGAGGATTATTAAGAATAGTCCCACATTGACTAACGAAGAGAAAGATCATAGATTTATAACTAAGTAACACTATCTCCATTAATACGAGTCATTTTTGGTAAAATCAAGAGCAAAGCCACGAAAGCTTAAGTTCAAAATCAACAATATCATATATTATTATGGAAAATCTCCTCACCAAAACTTCAAAAATTTATGTTTCCAACAATGATTGAAGCTCAAATGTTATCAGGAGTTGCGACTCTGGCTGGAAGAAAAAGCACTTTGAAGTTGGCACAGAGAATGAGTTCAAGCTTCTCCCAAGCAGTGGCAGCTTCAAGTTACCAAACATGGACCAAAGTGGTGGGCAAAACAGGGGAAGATATTAGGGTTTGTTCCAGGAAAAATCTAAGTGACCCTGGTGAACCCATTGGTGTTATTTTATGTGCAGTTTTTTCTCTATGGTTGCCTGTTCCTCCCCACACTCTCTTCCATTTCTTGCGAGACGACGCTCGAAGGAACGAGGTAAAATAACCCATTAGTTTAAGCTTCTGAATTAATGATTTTGTGTCCAAGTATTACTATGAGATCTCAAATCAGTTGGAAGTCGGAAATCGGAAAGAATAAAGCCTAGCCTTGTTTTTTTTTTGATGTTGGGATGAATATTGTTGTAGTGGGACGCCATGTTTGGTGGAGATAAAGTTGATTCAATTGCAAATTTGGCCAAGGGGCAGGATCGAGGCAACTCAGTTAGTATCCAAGTAATCAAATTTAATACTTTTTTTTTTTTAAAAACACAATAAAAGTCTCATTATATATCAGAAGCTAAGCTAACCTGAACAGAATTGTTTCAGACAAGAGGATCAAAAGAGAGCAGCAGCAGCAGCATGTGGATTCTCCAAGACACCTCCACAAACTCCTCGGAATCCATGGTAGTCTACTCCGGAGTAGACGTTTCCGGCATGCAGTCGGTGATGACGGGCTGTGATTCCGGCAGCCTCACAATCCTCCCATCGGGATTTTCAATTCTCCCCGACGGCGCTGAGTCCAGGTCCCTCCTCATTACTCGCCAGAAAGACCACAAATCTTCCGACACCCATGGTGGCGCTCTGCTGACCGCCGCCGTTCAAATTGTGACCGACGCCTCTCCCTCTGCAAAACCCACGGTGGATTCGGTTGAGTACGTTAAAAGCATCGTTTGTTGTACGATCAAAAATATCAGGAGCAGCCTGGGATGCTGTGAGGATGATTGTTGATAGATATCTTATAACTGTAAGTAAAGCTTTTATTTTCCTTTCTCTCATGTGGGTTTCTTTGTTTTGTGTGGAAAAGGCTTGCGGATTGAGGAGAGATATATAGCTTGCTTGATTAATGGATAAATACTTTCATATTTTATTACTTGATCCACATCGTGCCCTACCTGAACCAATAAGTTTTTTTAACTATGAGATCTCACATCAATGGGAGAAAGAATGAGTGTCTGTGAGGATGCTAGACTTCGAAAGAAGTGAATTGTGAAATCCTACGTCGATTAGAGAGGGAAACACAAAGATGCTGAACCTCAAAAGGAGTGGATTGTAAGATCATACATTAATTGAAGAAAAGAAACCTTTTTTCTAAAACTGTGAAAATTTCGAATTGTGAGATCCCATTGGATAGAAAAACAATTTATTAAGTTTGTAAGATCTCTGTTAGAGAGATGAACAAAACATTTTTTTATAGAGGCTTATAAAAACTTTAGAAATCGTGAAAACATTCATAAAAGAAAATGTTAGACTTAATTGAACCTTAACAAATGTGGATAATTTAATTGCAATAAACCTGGTTACTAAATCATCAAATCTCCAATAAAAAGGAACTCCAAACACACACAAAAAATCATTAAAAAAAATAAAGAAAGATATAAGGAAGGTCCGAAATCTTCCCCCATATCAACAAGGATAACCTTATCCACTTCCATCCAACGTGGAACCTCCTAAATGATACTCAAAATTCTCTTCCAAGATCCCATTTTTCCACGTGTCAAAACAAGATCCAATCACAAGCCATTTGAAGCATCCACCTCCTATCTCAACCTGGCAACTCCAAGTTCCTTCCTTTTCCAACCAAGAAGGCAACAATGGCTTCCTTAGCAACACTAGCCGCCGTTCAGCCGGTTGCCGTAAAGGGTCTTGGTGGAAGCTCCCTTGCCGGGACCAAGCTGCCCCTCAGGCCCTCTCGCCAGACCTTGACGCCCAAGAACTTCAAGTGCCAAAATCAATCACCAAAAAAGCTTTATTGTTAGTTTGGAATTGTATGAAACTTATGGGGTTTTTTTTGTGTGTGTTCTCTGTGTTTCAGGGCTGGTGCTGTGGTGGCTAAGTATGGTGACAAGAGCGTTTACTTTGATTTAGAGGATTTGGGTAACACTACTGGACAGTGGGATTTGTATGGATCTGATGCTCCTTCACCTTACAATTCTCTTCAGGTTTATGATTCATTGTTTTGCTTTAAAGAATATAAAGAATGGATCAGAACAGAACAAAACAGAGTAATTCTTTGTTCATTGGATTGAAGTTGCTATTGACTTATTTTGGTACATTTTATAGAGCAAATTCTTTGAGACCTTTGCTGCTCCATTCACCAAGAGAGGATTATTGCTCAAGTTCTTGCTACTTGGTGGTGGTTCCACTTTAGCTTATTTCAGTGCCACTGCCCCAGATGACGTTCTTCCAATCAAGAAAGGACCTCAACTTCCACCCAAACTCGGCCCGCGTGGCAAGATCTAATTCGCTTTCGAATCGGGTTTTTGTTGTATGTAAATTTTCTCTCTTAACTCTCCTACCAGCATGTTTCAAAGATACCATTTGGGAGTGTTATTTGAGCCATTGTTATTATGTGATCAATGTGGTTTTGCCAGTTTGCCCTGCAGAAGAAACAAATTCAAAATACTCCAAATACTCCAAAGCCAATTACTTTTATTCATCCTTCATATTTACAACAGGAATGAATTGAATGGATTTGGTAATTACAGCTCTAAACAGAAATTCAGTCAAAAGGAGGTTAAGCTTAACCGTGTTTTTCTGCTATGCTGTCTCCCCCTTCTCTAAAACCTTATGCTAGCTTTTTGTTCTTCTTATTTTTCGTCTTCCCTTATGAACTCGAGTCAATGTCGTGCCACGGGGCTCTTCGGACCGCCGCTGATGTTCTCGAGGTACGAGACCAACTTATTGTTAGTCACTATGTTTTGAAGCTTCTGCACAGGCTTCAGTTCACCTTCTGCAGGGAAGTTGTCTGAATTCCCTATTGGTGATTCCTTCTTTGTCTCATTATCAGAAATATCAGGACCCCAATTCATGAAATCCAATAATGTCATTGAAGTAAGTGTCTCGGAAGCATTTTGTGTCTCTTCTCCTGGTGAAGGCTTATCCACCCCCGACGATACCGGGGTTTCCCTTGAAGGGCTCTTACTCGAGGCCTGTGTCGGATTTTGAGCGAGATAATCTGCGTACAGTACATCCTCAATCCTTGACATCACAGTGAAGGCTAAGCTTTCAAGGATTCTAGAGTAACTCTCTAGAACAGCCTGACCAATATCCTAAACATCCAAAGAACCAACATAACATTAGAGAGTGCTGCAAACAGAAGTTTACTAGGATTCCATCCACCCTTTTCAAGACATGAAACATAGTACTTTCCAAAAACAAAAACAAAAATGTTTTGTACCCTATTGTATTGGATTTTGCTAATGTCTAGTGCTGATTGAGGAGTGCCTGGGAAACGATGTTTGAGGATGATTAAAATTGTTTCCGCTCGCTCCTCGAAAAGCTCTCGCTTCTCCAAGCTTACAGCCGAGCCCCAAGCAGATTTTCCATCTTTCTGGTTCATCTTCCTCTTCCATATCACAATAGAAGCTTCAATTCTATCCTTGAGATCTAGGATCTTGTGCTCTGAAGATAAGTCCAATGTAGACAGAAATTGATCCGGGTCGAAGAATTCGACCGTTATGTTTCTGTATACAGAGTCTCCAAGGCTTTCCCTCCCATTCTGCAAACGAAGATTCAGTCACGAAATCAATGAACAATAGAGAATTTGTGATACCAGAGGTAAATTTTGTTGACCTTAGGCAATAACTCTATGTAGTTTTCAGGGATCTCCATTTCTGATAGAACTTGTGCATTTATGGCCATGGCTGCTTTAAGGACTTGGTTTACACAATCCTTTTGATACTGCATAAATTTCCTTGAGTTCTCAGATAAACCATTTGTAGGGACTTTAGGAGTAGGTAGCCACCATTTGTCATCTTTTCTCTTTGAGGCATTGTCTTTATTCGAATCACTCGAATCTTTCGATGATACGTAGTAAAACTCAGATTGGTCCTTAAAATTATCCAAACAATCCTATGCATCATGTGAAACCATTAGACAGATTCAATCATGAAAACTTATTAAACATGAAAATGTGGAGAAAAATTAGTAATTTTCCTACAATAAGCATGGCATCGAGCTTGCGCAGCGCCGGGATGTTCATGTGAAGATCATTGCGTTGACGGGTAACCATGATCTGTTAAATCAAAGAATGTCAACTGTTGTTTGTCTTTGTTTTGAAGATCAGAAAGAAGAAGGGAGAGAAATTTTTGCCTCCATGTTTGTTCCATCCTTAGATTTCTGTTGGGAAGCAACAAATTCAACTATGTAGTCAGTGACTGATAAAAGCAAGTCAATTTCTTTTCTCCACCTTGTTTTTCGCTCCACCGACATCGGCTCTAGACGCCATTGTTCCCCGAAAACAGAAGCTGCAAAATGATCATCACTTAACATTCTAATAATACACTTGCTTTTTTTAACCACATCAAAATGATAGCACAGTTCAACCGACTTTGTGACAATTCTCGACCGAAAACAGAAGATCGACACACCGATGACGTACCTGCAAGATTCGTGATTGCATTTGACAGCGCTAAAGCCGACGAAACACCCTTTCCTCCACCAGACATATCTTCACCCAAAAGCAACTTGGAGAACCGCTCCTTCATCTGTTCTATTTCTGATCATTTACAAAGTCATAAACTTTAATTTGTTATTGAAATCATTCTGTGATTTCCATTATTCTTTTCTCAGAGCATTCAATCTTTTCCAAACAGAAAAGAGAAGAGATATGAACCTGTTGGTGGGTGATCTTTAGGCTGCTTAATTGGAGCTTCATCCCTGCAGGCCATGGCTTTTGGAGGGCCTTTGTCGGGTTGATTTGTTGGAGATTTTTCCGAAACGGTGTCATTTGGAGGAGTAGATCCCTGATTGCTGTTGGAAAACAAACCATGATTATGTGAAGAGAAGAGTGAAGCATTTGGATCATCATTTATGTTTGAAATGAAAGAATTGGGACCTGCAATTGTCGTCGCCCTGTTCCATTTCTTGTACCATCTTCAGATTTTTGATGAATCTTTTGGTAGAATAGACGAGAGAGAACAAACCAGCAATCTTGACAGACCGAAAAAAACAAAGGTCATAGAAAGAGAAAAGGACAGAGGTGTTGGTTGGAAAACCCAAAAAAAACGGAATCAAATTTCAACTGAATAGGTTGGTTTGTTATGTTGTTTGAAATGGGGATTGGGTTACATGCAGGGTTTGATAAGATAGATGTGTGTGTGTGAGAGAGAGAGAGAGAGAGAGAAAGGGAGAATTTGGCGAGAGAGGAGATGGATGGGTGGCTGTGGTTTTTCATGGGGAGGTCAAAGGTTCTCAAAAACAGGGGAACACACACATGTTTGAAATTTGAACGGCTAACCACCGTTTCTTTATTTCTCTTAAAAGTCACCGCAAAGATCCGAGGAACCAATGCTAACTTCTCGTTCCTTCTATGTTCCATTTGACGACACTGTACTTGTGTTTTTTCCTGGTTTTCCTGGATTTTGTTTTCCCATATAAATACTTTTTTCTGTTGCATCTAATTATTACCATTATTGCTTTCTACATGAAAATCATTATAAGAGTACATAAGAATATTTTAATTCCAATAACAAACTATTTTATGTTAGCTCTCCTTATTTCATCTTTCTGTTCCCTTTTTCTTGATTCATATTCGATAGAAAGGAAAATATTCTAATTGTTTAATAGACATTTAAAATCTCATTCCCTTTTTTTTTTAAAAATAAAACTAGAAGATATTGTTTAAAGTACATTTACTGGTTTTATAAGTTTCCAAGAACTTGTCAAATAGTGATTTAAGGCAGTATTATCACCATATCAATTCTTATGTAAAAATAAATAAAGGTTGAGATATTGGTCTTAAAGCTAAAAAAAATTTAAGAAAATAATTCATATTTTTTTATTGAGTTTTTATATAAGGATTCTTCGCCATTGTTAACTCATCTGAAACTACCACAGTTGATGAAAATGACGACTCAGATTTGGAAGGTCTCGAGGGATTGGATGAGGAAGAGGAAAATTGGGCAGAACTATGACTATGGGGCTCTACTTTCAGAACCTCACTGGAAAAGCTATTCAGTGAAGCACACAGGATTATTCTTCAGGTTAGCAATGAGAGAGTAATCAATAAATATCTAATCTTTAGATTCAGAAGAAAGCTGTTTAAGACTAAACTAGAAAACTAAAACGTCCACCATTACTCAAAAGAAAACGAACTCAAGAAGTCATCTAATGTATATTCACAAACAAGGAAAGAACACCCGAAATTCAGCCACTAAATCCCTCAAACTCCAAAGTTATACACTATCAATAACAACAACTTCATTGAACTTTGTAACGCAGAGTTTGGCAGACCTTAATTAAACTGCAGAATTTAAAGCAAAACCTTCCGCTAAAATAGGTTGCTCTTCTTCTTCTTCTTGGCTTCATCTCCAACCTCCAACCCTTCCAATACATCTACCGCACAACCCTTTCCTCTCCTCTCCTCCATTCCCCCTACTACGACCCCATCGAGATCAAACTCCGGCAGTTTCAATCCCTTATCCGTCGCGCAAGCTGCTGGAGGATCCAGTTCCGGCCAGATTCCAGTGACGACATCGGTAGATAGAGCGGCAGTAGGCGACCACTTATCCTCTACTCCGTAGCCATCGGAATCGTCGCCCTCGTCGGAGGAAAGAAAACCGGTGGCCGTGGATTTGATAGCGGAGGCGGCCTTGAAGAAGGCTTCGCAAATAGAATCGGGAGGAAGGGCACAATCCTCGAGTCCAGCGTCTTCGAGACGGGGAGGGAGGATTTGATCGAAGAGACCTGGTTTGGATTGGTGTTCTTCTGCTGCGTCCATAAGAATGGGAACGAGAAATTAGAAACCCTAAAATCGGAAGATTTGGTAAGTAGAATTCGTCTAACAAGTAGGGAAGAAAGGGAAGAGGAAGAAGGGCCAGGTGGCGCAGATCCGGCGCGATTAATTGGCGCTTTAAACACGTGTGAGTCACTTCAGTTAAAAATTAAAAACGAAAAGAGATCCTCATTTATCTCCAAATCTAAATAATAAATACTAACTATAAATTCTATAATTTATTTTGTTCTTAAAAAGATATTCATCACTAAAAATAAATTAGTCCGTGATTAGTAATAGACAAGATAAAGAGACAAAAAAAAAAAAAAAAAAAAAAAAAAAAAAAAAAAAAAAAAAAAAAAAAAAAAAAAAAAAAAAAAA